GAACGCCTTGTCACTCAGTTTCCATTTCAAACTCAGATCCCTTTAAAAGAAAACTGTATGTAAACAAGAGCCTGGGCCAGCGGCGTGGTTAAGCCGCTGCTTGTGATGCCGGCAGCCCGTATGAGCACCAGTTCGAGTCCCGGCTGCTCCACTTGTAATCCAGCTCCCCGCAGTGCACCTGGGAAAGCAGCAGGTGACGGCCAAGTGCTTGAGCCCCTGCAGATGCAGGATCTCTCTCATCTCTCTCTCTCTCCCATTCTTCCACCCCCCCCCCAAAAAAAGATGTTTGAAAGGGAGAGTGACGGGGGAGGACAGAGTTGGGGGGTGAGGAGTGAGAGACCTGTGCGTTGGTTCACTTCCCAGATGGCTGCGACAGCCAGTGCTGGGCCAGGCGGAAGTCAGGAGCCAGGAACGCATCCGCCTTGCCCACGTAGGTGGCAGGGGCCAAGCACCCGGATCCTGATCTGTGGCTTCCCAGCTGCGTGAGCGGGAAGCGGGATTGCAAGCGGGGCAGCAGTGGGGACTGACCCCGCGGCATCACGCACCCGCGCCCAGGAGCAGCCTCCTGTGTGGTTGGTGGAAGCACCGGGGGCCGTGGGCTCTCTGACCTGTCGGTGCTCTCCTGTGGGTTAGACGGCGGGAGGAGATGTTTCTGTGCCAGATGAAATCTGCTGGTTGAATCTGCGTCTGACGGCCCCTTCGGCGGGTTCTGCCGGACCTGCGCCCCGGGCCGTGGGGCCACGGGGGTCACTCCCACGTCAGCCGCAGGGAGGGCTCCCTGGGTGGGGGCTCCGCCGTGAGCATCGTCCCCTGTGTCTCTTCCCCTTGCTGACCGTGTGGCTGGTGCGGTGCGGCCCCCGTGCCGCTCCCTGGGAAGCTCAGGACGTGCGGCTTCTGCTCCTGTGCCGGCGGGCGCCGGGGGTGAACGGCCCTCAGGGTCACCCTCCGCCGGGGCCCGTGGCTCTGCTGCCTTCCCCTCGGGTTCCCGGAGACCGAGGTGCTGTCGTGGACCCGGGCAGCGGCACTCTCCCTGTGGCTGGGTCTGTTTCTTTCCTGGTCACCTCAGTGGGAGCATTGGTGCCGTCTTCTGCGGTTCATTCACGCGGTCTGACTGTGTGAACAGCAGTGCCCTTGCAGTAAGCAGCCAGGCAGCATGACGACAGAGAGGCTGCCGTCTGCGTCTGACGGCTCCACTCGGGTCGTCTGGGGCCCTTCTGGCTCCAGGAGATGCCCGTGATGGATTTAGAAAACTGTACACTTTGGGAAGATTGGGGTTTTTTTATTGAAATGAAATATTATGTATTATTTGAGAGGCAGAGTTACAGAAAGGGAGAGACAGAGAGAGAGAGATCTTCCATCTGCTGGTTTATTCCCCAAATGGCTGCAACGGCTGGAGCTCCAGGTCTCCCACGTGGGTGCAGGGGCCCAAGGACTTGGGCCATCTTCTGCTGCTTTCCCAGGCCATAGCAGAGAGCTGGATCGGAAGAGGTGCAGCCGGGACTAGAACTGGCGCCCATATGGGACGCCAGAGCCACAGACGGAAGCCCAACGTGCTGTGCCACAGCGTCAGCCGCCAAAGACTGAATTTCTTAAGAACAGGAGAAAAGTGCACTGAAGTGAGCGGTTCTGAGCGACGCCACGCGGCCCGGGCCTGGGGCTTGGCTCCTGCTTCTCTCTGCCCTGCGTCGGATCCTGAACCTGGGGAGGGAGGGGGTTCCAGGTCAGGGTTGGATTAGCACGAAGTCCTCTTGTGAAGGGTCCATTGCTGGGACGAAGCGCGGAGTGCGACTTGCTGGGGGCTGGGGATGGAGCCCCACGGCCTGGAATAACTGGCAGGAGTCCGATCGCTCGCCGAGCTGCCTGCCGCCTGCTTCCCATGCCCGCTGTGTGCTGCAGACCGTCCGCTCGCCGTGTGTGTGTGTGGGGGGGGGTGTCGTGGATTGTCCTGGATCCTTTCATAAAAATACCTAAGATGGGGCCGGAGCTATGCCACAGTAGCACAGCGGGTTAAAGCCCAGCCTGCAGCACCGGCATCCTGTATGGGCACCAGTTCAAGTCCCGGCTGCTCCATTTCTGACCTAACTCCCTGCAAATGGCCTGGGAAAGCAGTAGAGGATGGCTCAAGCGTGTGGGCCCCTGCACCCACATGGGAGACCTGGAGGAAGCTCCTGGCTTCAGCCTGGCCCACACAGCCCAGGTGTTGCGGCCATCTGGGGAGGTAACCAATGGATGGAAGATTCCTCTCTCTCCCATTCTAATTCTACATTTCAATAAATAAATAAATCTTTTTTAAAAATATGTAAGAAAAGACGCCCCAACACAGGTTCTCTGTGGTGTGGTTGGACTTCCGATTTGCTGCTTTTTGCCTGTGTGTCAATGTCTAGGTACTTTAAAAGTTATTTATTGGAGAGGAATTCAGTGGGAAGGCACAGGCAGTGTCGCTGGCAGGATGGGCTGCCCTGGGGAAGGGGCGGGGCTTGGCCACAGCTCCTCCCCCTGAGCGCGGGGAGGAGCCAGGGAAGTAAAGCGCCATGCAGCCCTGAGAGGAGTTGTCCCAGGGAGCAGACAGCCCGGACTAGCCGAACAGTGGTGGGCCTCGCGGTGAGGCTTGCGGTGAGAAGTGACCGGGCTGGAGGGACGGCCTCCTGGGAGCCCCTGGTCATTTGCCACTGTCCTGGCAAGATGAGTGTCAAGTGTTGGAGGCCCAGCACGGGGCCTGGCACGTCCTGAGCGGTGCCCGGGCAGAAGTCTGGATGGGGTGGGGACGCTGGACCTCAGGCCGGACGAGGCAGGGGCAGCCAGGAGCAGTGGGACCGGAGGTGAGGCAGGACAAGGGTTCGGAGAGGTTCCAGGGACGGTGACACCAGCCTGGGGGCGGGTTATGAGGGCACAGGATGAAAGACGGCTTTGAACTTGGACGTGTTCTCAGCACCAGTCTGCAGGCTAGGACGAGGGTGAAGTCCCGGCTCCACATTCTGTGTCTGGAGCGGAGTCGTGCTGGTCCTGCACGGCTCCCCCCACGCCCCTTTCTTCTGTCAGCTTCGTGTCCTCACAGCCTTCCCCGTCCCTCTCTGTGTCTTAGTGTGACCAGGGACTCCATGCTGCCAGCTGACCTGTTGCTGGTTAGGGCCGTTGGTAGACTGCAAGGCATCGTCTCCGGCCCTAGGATCTGCCGGTCTGAAATGTGCCCAGGTTGACCCTACAGGCTGCAGACCCAATACTGTCCACTAAGTGGTGCTCACGCACCGGAAGTGAGTTCTAAAGCCGGAAGACAGGGAGCCCTGTGCAGTGTAACCAGATCGCAGAAGTGGTGGAGGGGCCGTACCTGTTCGTTTTCTTTCTTTCAACATTTATTTATTTGTGTGTTTGTTTGAGAGGCAGACTTGCAGAGAGAAAGGGAGAGAGAGAGATCTTCCATCCACTGATTCATTCCCCAAATGGCCAAAGCCAGGAGCCTGGAACTCCACCCAGGTCTCCCACGTGGGGGACAGGGGCTCGAGTACTTGGCCATCTTCTGTCGCTTTCCCAGGCACATTATCAGGGAGCTGGACCAGACATGGAGCAGCCAGGAAGCGAAGCAGTGCCATATGGGACGCTGGCATCCTACACGCCCCTGCTGCCCCCACTTCCAATCCAGCTCCCTGCTAGTGCTCCTGGCTCCTGGCTTTGCCTGGCCCAGTCCTGGCTATTGTGGCCATTTGGGGAGTGAGCCAGCAGATGGAAGATATCTCTCTCTCTCTCTCTCTCTCTCTCTCTCCCTTTCAAGTAAGTGAAATCTTCAAAAAAGAAGAGGCGACGCCATTTAGCAGCACCTCGGTGCGTGTCTGGCTTCACCGTGACTCGTGAGGCAACTCGCGGGAGATGGTGGCCTGGTGGGCGCGGTGCCCCCACTTCCTCTTTGACAGGGAAGGGCGCTGGCCCACCGCCCCTCGCCGGCTGCAGCGTGAGCGCTTGGGAAGCTGAGCCGTGAGACACGAAGGCTGGCTCGACGCCGCCGTTCCCCCACGGCCGTCTGTGGGGCAGTGGGGAGCCTACGCCCCGGCTCGCGGACCGCAGTGTCCAGCAGCCGGCGCCTGGCCGCCTCCGTGGAGCTTCCTCGAACGAGGACCGCGGCAGTGTTTGGCGAACCTGAAGGCTCAGCAGATAGGAGTCCAGATTACATTTATCTGGTGCGCGCCTGAGCCTTGGGCGGGGACACTGCCCCGAGAGGAGGTGTGGGGGGCACTGGGAAGGGTGAGCGCTGCCCTGAGCCCTCGGCCCCCAGGGACTCCTGACCAGGGGTCCAGCAAGAGCAAACGGGAAGCAGCGCGGGCCTTGACGGGCGGCGCTGGCGTCTCAGGGAGCTTGGGGCTTGTAAGTTCCAGAGCCTCGCACGTGGTGTCGGGATTGGGCCAGCAGGTAGAGGCAGACCCCAGAGAGAGCAGCCTAAGCCCTAAGCAGCTGCACGAGCCACGCTCTGGTGACACTGGAGTGACCGCAGCAGGGACCGCAGGGCACTGCCGTCCACCTGCCCTCTGAGTGTCCGCGTCCTGGGGCTGGCGTTGTGGCGCGGCCGGTGACCTGCCTCCCATGGGAGTGTGGGTTCGAGTCCCAGTTGCTCCACTTCTGATCCAGCTCCCTGCTAACACACCTGGGAAAGCTGCAGAAGAATGTCCAAGTGCGTGGGTCCCTGCACCCACGTGGGAGACCTGGATAGAGTCCCAGACTTTGGCTTTGGCCATTTGGGGAGTGAAGCAGTGGATGGAAGATCTCCCTCTCCCCCTCCCCCTCCCCCTCCCCCTCCCCCTCCCTCTCCAACTGTGCCTTTTCAAATAACTAAATAAATCTTGAAATCTGCCATCCTGGGACCAGACATGGGTTTAAAGCAATGCCTGTGTGACTTCTGAAATGAGAAGCCAAACTTTCATGTAAATCCTCTTGGAGCAATGGCGTGCCGCCGGCCCCGGGGCTGTGCGGGGCGGGCTGCGGCGGCTGTCCTGACGGCGCCCCGTCTCCCGCAGGTCTTCATCTCCGTGAACTGCCTGAGCACCGACTTCTCCTCCCAGAAGGGCGTGAAGGGGCTGCCGCTCAACATCCAGATCGACACCTACAGCTACAGCAGCCGCAGCAACAAGCCGGTGCACCGCGCCTGCTGCCAGATAAAGGTCTTCTGTGACAAGGTCAGCGGGGCGCGGGCTCTCAGGGCGGGGCTGTGTGCTGATGCTGGCCCCCCCGCGGCGCAGAGAGTCTGCAGGGGTCTGGTCTCGGTGCTGCAGGGGAGGAAAACGCGTCTTCACTGAGAACGCGGGGCCGCGTGGTGAAGCCGCGGCGGTGTCACTGGGAGGCGGCTACGAGGGCCACCGTGGGCTCCGCACCTTCTCTTCCCCGGGGCGGGGAAGCGGCCGGGCTGAGAGGACACGCGGTGTCCTTGAGGACGGGGAGTGGACCCACAGTGAGGAAGACCGACGTGGGCACTGCCCCTCTTCATCCTGGGGAGGCCACTGGAAGGGGCTGGGTGACGGGAGCGTCTTTACTGTCCGGGCTTTGGGGTACAGGAGCGCGGTGGTGACCGGGGAGGGCGGCTGAGACCCCAGCTGCGCGTGTGCTGAGCACGTCCCAGGCCGCTGGTAGCGTGCCGCAAACTCAGCCGCTCAGGGCAGCCCTGATTCTCGGTCCTCCCGGCCGCAGGTCGGCAGCCTGATGCCGGCCTCCCTGGGTGGGACAGGGACGGTCCGTGTCCTCTCCTCGTCCCCTCGAGAGGCCCCACCTGCTTGGCCTGGCTCCGTCTGCCATCTTCAGTCCACGTGGCCGTCAGGGCTCAGACCCTGTGTCCTCGCATCCTCCCTGACCTGCTCTGGGGACCTGCGGCCACCTCGGGCTCCGGTCAGCACCTGCCCCGCCCCCCATGGAGCCCCACCCTCTGCGGGTGCAGGTGCTCCCTCGTGCTGACATGGCACGCGCCGTCACCGCGGCAGGCAGGGGATAAAGCCGAGGGGCCACAGCTGCGCCGGTTCAGCTGAGAGCACCACTTTCATGTCTGACGTTCCTCACGGGCCGCAGGGGCGGTTTCCGAGCGCAGCGTTCAGTTGTCGGCGCCAGGCAGTGGTTTGTCCTGGTGGCCCTGTCCACAAGTGCCTGGAGGGGGCCCCGTGAGCCCGGAGCTGCCCGTGGTTTCCTGTGGGGCGGAGCCACTTCCTCCAGGGCACTGCTAGGACAGGGCGTGGCACAGCCCGCAGCCACACGAGCCACAGGCCGGGGCTTCTGTTCTTATTTTGTATCACTTTGTGTTATTTGCATCAGCAGAAATAAACCCTTCCTGGGTTTCCGAGGTCTTTCCTGGGCCCCGCAGCTGTGGCGGATCCCGGCCCCCGATCACGCGCCATCCTCCAGGTGGTGGCGTCTCCCAGGGCGTGCGTGGGAGCAGGCGGGAGCTGGGCTTCTCCACACCACAGGGCAAGAATCCTAAGTGCAGGTTGAGAAGGAGCCCGAGACACGTTCAGAGTTAGAGGTGCGGCTTTGCGAGGGCTCCTCCTGTGAACCGGGGCGCCCGAGAGGTCGTGTGCCTTGTCCGAAGTGCAGGCCCGACCCCCGGTCTCTGCGGCGGGAGAGCGAAAGCCTGCCCGTTGGTGTTGTGTGCAGAGAATGTGGTGTGGAAGGCGTGCGCTCCCGAGCTCCGTGCTGCCCGCGCCTCTGTGCGTTGGCTCACGCGCGTCGCCCGGGTGTGTGGAGCGTGCCCAGTGCAGGCCCGTGTCGTTGCCGGCTCTGCCTTGCTCGGCGGAGACGGGCGGTGGGAATAGGGCAGCATGCAGCGGCGCTCTGGGAAGCCGGGCACCAGATGCTCCCGGCGAGCGTGGTGAAGCCCTGCCACACACTCGTGATGACGTCCCCGGCCCGCTGGAGCCTGTGATCTGGAGACGCGCGAGATGAAACAGCCCTGGACCCGCCTTCTGCCCTCGCGGCACTCGGAGGGGTGACGTGTGCTAATAGCAGGGTACTTAGGGCAATCACACGCTGCTTCCCAGCCCCAGCTTCTAATCTCGGGCCATTACGGGGCGGTGCAGATCCTCTGTGAGGAGATGCGTGTGTCATTAATTTTCAAAGCCCTTGGCCTTGCAAGCACGGGAAGCCCTGCGCGACCTCACGCCCACGCCCGGGTCTGGCTGTGGCTTTCCCGTCACCCCTGAGAGCTGCCGGTGCTGCTGCCAGCCTAGGTTTGCCCTGCACCCCCCTTCCCTGGAAAACCCACCCACCCCTGGATTCTCAGATTCGCCTCTTCCTCTGCTGCGTTTACTACGCTCCTGTGCTGTGCATCTGGTCTACACTGGCAGTGGGGAACTGGAAATAGCACATCTTCCCACGTCCTCCCAAGAACGCGTCTCGGCATCTTAAGAGCTGCATGGACTTGATCCTGCACGGGAGGCAGCCCGATGCTCTATCAGAGAAAACGCCGGTGGAAATTGCGCCCCCTGGTGGCCAGGGCCTGTCCTTGGCGCCTCTGCATAGAGGACGCCTGGCGGGACAGCCTAGTGTCGGTGTCCTGGGTGTGCAACGTTTCTCATGGGCTCGCGAGGGTCTGAACATCTCGCTCCCTGCCTGTCTGGGGTGCCGCCACCGTGCCGGCTGGCGCTGTCTGGGATGGGCTGCCTGCAGCCACCCTCAGCCTTGCCCCTCCGCACAGCCCGGCTGGGCTACGTGCTCTGTACGGCTGGTTTGACCAGGGTGGTCACGCCGGGCCTCCTCATCGTGTTGTGCGTGGAGTTCCTGGAGCTGGACCCACCGAGCACCAGCAGGCTCCTGGTTTCCATGCTGTCTGGAGCTTGGCCAGCTGCAGTGTCTGCACCAGTATCTCCCCCTCCCCTCTGGGAGACCCCAGGAGCGCCTGTGTGAGGTGCGTGGGGTCGCGCCCGCCCCGCGGAACCCTCCCCTCCGTCGCTGCGGTCGGGTGCTGATGCGCACGGTGTCTCCGTAGCCGCCACCCGTGTTTGCCGCACAGCTGTGGCTCCATCCCCGGAGGCTCACCGTGATCTCTCTCGCCCGGTCCTTCCCACCAGCGTAGCTTTTTGAATGTAGTTGCAATAACTTTGTAAAATGACTTTTCGTGTATTTTCATTTTATTTGAAAGGCAGAGACAGAGCCCTTCTAACCAACTTCCCAGATGCCCTAACAGCCAGGGCTGGGCCAGGCCGAAGCCTGGGGCCCAGAACTCCGTCCAGGTCTCCCGCATGCGAGGCCGGGCCCCAGGCACTTGAGTCGTCTCCTGCTGCCTCCCTCAGTGCACAGGAGCTGGAAGCTGGAATTGGAGGTGGAGCCAGAACTCTGCCCCAGGCATCCCCAGGCGGGGCGCGGGGTTCTAAACAGCATTTTAACACCACACCAGGTGCCCGTCTCTATATTATTATTATTATTATTATTATTTTTTTTTTGCTGTTGCTGTTTAATGATTTATCTACTCAGATGAAAGGCAGAGCAATAGAGAGATTCACTGTTTCACTCCCTAAATGGCCACAACAACCAGGTCTGGGCCCGGCTGAAGCCAGGACCCATCTGGGTCTCCCACATGTGTGCCAGGGGCCCGAGCGCCTGGGTCCTCCTCCACGGCCTTTCCAGGTGGGTCAGCAGGGGAGCAGCCAGGGCTGGTGTCCTGAGTGGCAGCTTAACCCTCTGCCTCTCTACTCCGGCTGTAAAATGTAGTCCTTGTTGACTCACTAGCCAAGACGAGTGGGGTGAATTTTCATTGCGCATCTCTGCTGTCGGGGAATCTGTAAGAGAAGTGACCGCTGTGCGACTGGACACCTTGGTGAGGACACGCGTGCCGTGCACTTACTGCAGTGGGCAGATGAGCTGATGCAGTGTGTGACTGTCGCTGTGCACCATCTCTGGCAGGTGGGGTGGGCTCCGTCGCGTGGCACTGCAGCGAGTCCCCCATGCGGGCTCCCGTGTCGTGGGACTCGGAGCACACGTGTTCTCTGCTCAGTGACACTGCAGGTGCCTTGTCGCTTCTTGGCTTCGGTGAGCTGCAGTTGGTGGTGTCTGTCACTCCGCTGATGCCAGCTCCTTGGGCAGAACCCCGCTCTCGGAGACGGGGTGGCCCGGGGGAGCGAGTGCGCGTGGGGGTGGGTCCCCTGGTGATCCTGCCTCATTGTCTTTTCCTGCTGGACCAAGCGAGGCACGCGCGTCCTTGCAGGCCGCGAGCTGCATGGGCAGGTGTGCCCGGCTTTCGTCCGGCACCAGAGGGCCTCCGCTCTGTGGGTTTGTCCGTACACGTGGTCGTTCCCTGCGATCCAGGCCGTTCCGCGTCCCCGAGGGCTCCGGGGAGGCCCGCGAGGTAGCAGGTGCAGGGTCCGTTCCCCACGGCCGTCGGGCTGGGGTGCGAGTCCATCTCTCGGAGGCTGGCTCCGCTGAGTGCCCTCCTCTCTCGCCCCGCAGGGAGCCGAGCGGAAAATCAGGGACGAAGAGCGGAAGCAGAGCAAGAGGAAAGGCAAGTGTCCCGGCCCCGGCCAGGGCAGCGCCTGTGAGTGGACCGTTCCGTCCTCGAGGGTGGCGGCCGGGCGCGGTGCGGGCCTGGCTACGGGGGGGGGGGGGCTTCCCTCAGCCAGGCAACCGCGGGGGGGGGGGGGGGGGGTCCCGGCTCTGCCGCCAGCAGCCCCGGCGGTGCGGGGGCTACTCCGGGCTCCTTGTGGCGGGCGTCAGTCCCGGAGGAGCTGTGGAAATGAGACTTGTGTGGGTTTACGGGCTAGAGGGGTGCCCTGGGGAATGTAGGGTGTCCTCGTTCTTGACTGTCCCAGCTGGCAGGCTCTAGGGCGCTCGGACAGGTCCCCGGGGAGGCTGCCTGCGTTTTCTGAGGTGCTCCCCATCCTGTCCACAAGTCCCGTGTGAGAAGGTCACCAGGACGGAGGCCCGTCTGCGGTGTGGGGGCGGGGCCTGTGGCGTGTTCTGCAGTCCCTCGGCGTTGGTCAGGAGTCGGCCCGTGTCCCTCGGGGCCAGGCTGACGGCAGACAGGCTGTGCTTCTATCCAACAGCTGGAGAACTGGACGGGCGGCGTCTGGTGTGGGAGTCAGGCCACTCGGACTCGGGGCGCACATGCCAGGGGCTCAGTGTGAGCCCCGGCTCCTCTGCTCCCAGTGCAGCTTGTGCAGTGCGTACCCTGGGAGGCAGCAGGCGACGGTCAAGTCCTCGGGTCCCTGCCACCCACGTGGGAGACCTGGCTGGAGCTCCAGGCTCCTGGCTTCGGCCTGCCCAGCCCCAGCTGTTGCAGGCATTTGGGGTGGGGGTGGGGGTGGGGGGCAATGGGTCAGCAGATGGAAGATCTCTCTCTGTGTCTCCATCTCTCCACTTCTCAAAAATAAAAATAAGTAAAAATTCGACAAAATTAAGTTTTAGACAATGGTGTTGACGAACTCTAGCTGAATGTTGAGTTTCTTGATATATTCTAAAGTCAAAGGTACATTGCTGTTAGAATGGAGACACCGGGGGAGGCGGGATTACTTCCAAGTTGTGCTCATAGTGCAGCTGTTCCGATGAAAAAAGCCAAAGGCTTTGCCTCCCGTGTGTTCAGGGACGCCTGACGCCTTTCCCTCCCGGGGCCCCGTGCGCGTGCACACAGCACGTTCCCTCGCAGGCCCTGTGATTCCCTTCCTTAGTGCCCCGGCCTGTAGCTTGGGGCCCTGTGCTGTAAGCGTCGCGGGCAGGAGCCCACACTGCGCCGGCGCCCGTCCCTCTGTGTCTGTGTGTCTGACCGGGCGTCTGTCGGTCGTTTGCAGTCTCGGACGTGAAGGCGCCGCTGCTGCCCTCCCACAAGCGGACCGACAGCACGGTGTTCAAGCCCTTCCTGGACCTCGACACGCAGCCCGTGCTCTTCATCCCCGACGTGCACTTCGCCAGCCTGCAGCGGGGCGCTCACGTGGGTACCCGGCCCCGGCACGGCCCCTGCCCAGAGGAACTCTGGCCTGGTTCACCGTTCACGGAGGCCCAGCGCCCGTGACCTCTGACCAGCTGGAATACTCGGTTCATTCACTGAGCTCTGTGTAAGACGTGGACGTGGAGGTGCAGTACAGGCCTGTGGGCTCAGTCCTGTATTCTCCATCCACTCACTCCTGCGTCGCTCACTGAGAAGATTCTAGAGTAGTGATGTCATTCGCAGTGTGCGTCTCCAATGTCTGCAACTTAAGGCGGCCGTGGCAGCACAAAGGACAGGGGAAGGCCGGCTCCTAGTCCGAGCTCCTGGCCCGTCCCTGGCACAGCCCTGTCACGCGGCCCATGCCAAGTCCTGACGGTCGCGGCAGCCTGCTCGCTGGCAAAGGCCTCCTGCCGGGGGCTGCAGGCCGTGGGCAGTGGTCGGTTTCTGCCGAGAAACTTCCCGGTGAGGGAAGTGAGGGACGGGCGCGGCATGGCCCGGAGCTGGGCCCGGGCTGTGCTCACCAGCCTCTGTGTGAGAGCAGTCCACGGTGCCTGTCAGAGCTGGCTTAGGAAGGCAGCCAGGGGTCTCGTCCCCGGTCTGCCACGTCGGAAGCTGCTCCCGCGTTGTGCCGAGTGGGGCTTTGTGGTCTGAGACGTTCTGAGCGCATGTTTGAAACACACCCTGTCTTTTGGTCTTAGGTCCTACCCATGACCTCGGAGGAGCTGGAGGGCGAAGGGTAAGATTTGTGTTTCGTTTTGCTTTGTTCAAGTCAGTCTGTTTGGGATGATTCCGACTCCAAGAATTGCAGCACGGCACACAGCACTCGCTTCTGCCGACGGTGACCCGTCGTCCCAGGTGCCCTGCAGACGAGGCCGCTCGCCACGTCACCACGGGTACTCCCCCGTGCGTTAGTGCCACACTGTCCTCTTGAACCACCTTCATTCTGGAACATTCTCCGGCTCCCCTGGCTCTCCTGGCACCAGCTGTTTCGCAGAGTATCCCTTAGCTTGCGTTCGGCTGCTGCATCTGATGACGTTTCCCCTGCTCGCGCGTGCCGTCGGAAGCCCGGTTCACGCCAGCCCTGACTGTGGGGTTTGCTTGCTTTCTTGGTTAAGGTGGTCTCTGCCGGGCTTCTCAGCTGTTTTTCTTTCTCCTCTTTCGGTTTAGTGTTTGGGGGAGGAACTTCTGCTTCGTAAAATGTCCTGCCTCATCAAGCTCTCCACTTGTCATTTTTCTTTTTTTTAATTTATTTGAAAGGTAGAGCTATAGACCATGAGAAAGACAGAGCAAAAGGTCTTCCTTCCATTGATTCACTCCCCAAATGGCTGCTACGGCCGGCGCTGCGCCGATCCAAAGCCAGGAACCAGGTGCTCCCTCCTGGTCTCCCATGCGGGTGCAGGGGCCCAAGCGCTTGGGCCATCCTCCACTGCCTTCCCAGGCCACAGCAGAGAGCTGGACTGGAAGAGGAGCAGCCGGGACTAGAACCTGGCGCCCACATGGGATGCTGGCGCCGCAGGCGGAGGATTAACCAACTGAGCCACGGCGCAGGCCCCTCCACTTGTTAACGTCTGTGTGCAGGTGTGGACTCAGTTTCCTGGTTGACTCCGTGAGCTGCAGTCCATTCCTGCCATTGATGTTGACACTGATTGTCCCGGCGGCCTCGGCCAGTGGGCGCGCGCTGGCCGGCTCTGGCTCCGCTCACCTGTCCCCGTGCTCGGGCGCTGCCGGTGCTCAGGCCCCAGGGTTTGCCCTCCTGCAGCCCCGGCAGCAGCTTCTCCGAGAAGCCCCCGCTGCCCTTGGTGCAGAATCGCCTTTAGGACTGGGGCCTGGGGCCCTGGGCAGGCCCGGCTGTTGGGTGCTGCTGCTGTGCCCCTGTGCGGGGAACCCCCTCTGTGAGTCCCCGGAACAGCCCCCTCCCCCAGCCTATTCAAACCCCAGTGTGGTTTGGCCTTCCCAAGGGCTTTAGAAGTTTATTCATTTTAATTTACTTGAAAGGCAGTAAATCCACCCACTGGTCTGCTTCTCAAATCCCCACAGCAGCTGGGGCCAGGCCAGGCCAAAGCCAGGAGCCTGGAGCTCCGTTCTGCTCTCCTGTGTGGGTGGCCGGGGCTCGAGTGAGCGCTCGCTGCGGCTCCCAGGACGTCCGCTGCATCGGAAGTGGAGCTGTGCCACGGGGCCCCTCCCCCTCAGCTTTTCAGGAAGAGGAAGGAGGAGCCTCGGTGACAGGTGGTGACCCTGCCCCGAGTCCTCTCGCAGCCTCGCTGATCCACTCCCCAGACCAGCGCCGGCGTGCAGTGCTGGCTGTGCCCTTGCCTGTCCTTCATGTTGTCAGATGCCGGTCCCGTGAGAGCCTTCATGGCACCGGTGCCCTGCGGGGAACTGAGATGGTGGGAGGCCTGGTCGCTGCTCCAGAAGCGAGCCTTCTGCTCTCATCCTTCCGTTCTTTAACCACTGTCTGGCTCACGGCGCCGCCCCTCTGCCCAGGGCCCCGCCTTGCCTGCCTTTGGCTGCGCCATGCCCTCCTGTGGCTCCTTTGCCCAGATTCTCTGCATTCTCCCCGGGCGTTGCCACTGACAGCGTGGACTGCGAAGCCCTCCGAAGCTGCCAGGGTCCCCTCCCTGCTCGTCCTGCAGGCAAAGGATCCCCCCCCCCAGCCTGGACCACACCCTCTGTGTGGGTGCAGGCACCCAAGCGCGGCCCCGGGCCTGCCCAGAGCCTCCACGGCCCCCACTGCAGGCGGTGTCTCTCTGAGGGCTGCTGGTGGGCCGGATAAGAAGTGAACACTATGTAAAATACAAAATGCAACCTAACGCGGCCTAGCTTGCTTGAAGACGGAGTATAATTGTGTATTATGTGTTTTTATCCAGTCTGTCTCTGTCATTTGATAATGATTTACATATAGTGATTTCACTAATTTAATAAATGTATTATTAAAATCTAAACAAAATGTGGAACTCCGTGACTGCCCCTACAGCTGGCTTTGCTCAGCAGTCGGCTTAGGCTAACGTCGCCCTTTGGTGTGTTTGGGTCGCCCGCAGCTCCGCCCTGAAGAGGGGGCCGTTTGGCGTGGAAGATGACTTCGTCGTCCCGCCTCCTGGCAAACTGGTGCGGGTGGAAGAACCCAAGAGAGGTGAGCTGGCGGCCGTGGCGTGGTGGGCATTCGAAGTGAGAAGCGCACCCGGGGTTTGCACAGCAGCGCTGCCCAAGTGCGTGTGTCCGCTCCCGCTAGACGGCTCGCACCCGTGCCTTGGTGGGAAGGCGTGCTTTGATTGTGGCCCGCACCCGTGATGTGTGTCCACTGTAGGCTGTGTGAACTAACGGCAGCCTTTCTCTCCTTCTTCCTTCCTCCGCCGCCTCGCTGCCGGCTGGCTCCAGTGCTGCTCTACGTCCGAAAGGAGTCTGAAGAAGTCTTCGACGCCCTCATGCTCAAGACCCCATCTCTGAAGGGCCTGATGGAGGCTGTGAGTGGACGCGCGCCGTCATCGCTTCTGAAAGATGGGTGCCGGGGCCAGCGCTGCGGCGCCGCATCCCACCTGAGCAGTGGCTCGAGTCCTGGGCTGCTCCACTTCCAGTCCAGCTCCCTGCTCACGCACCTGGGAAATTGCTCGGGCCCCTGCCACCCACATGGGAGACCAGAATGGAGTTCCTGGCTCCTGACTTTGGCCTGGCCCCTCCCTGGCTGTTGGAGCCACTGGGGAGTGAACCAGAAGGTGGAAGACCTAGGTCTCCCACTCTGTCTGTCACTGCCTTGGCAATAAGTGACTCCTTTTTAAAAACACGGATGCCAGCTGAGAAGCCCACTGAGACAAACTGAGACGATCCAAGTGCCTCGGGAGAGCCGAGCGGGACACCCCAGGCTCCGGGCTGCTCTGCCTGCAGCCCAGCCACAGATTTGTGTGTGTGTCTGTCTTCTCCGCCAGAGAACCTACCCCGCCGCTCCTGGCGCTTGGGTCGGTAGGTGGGAGTCACCCAGGCAGGAATGTTCTGTTGTCTTGAAGAAGGGAGATTACCATGTAGCAAAGTGTTTAGGAGCTAATGAAAGCTTATTTTTAGGATTTATTTACTTACTTATTTGAAAGGCAGAGTAACAGGGAGAGACAGAGAGGGATGTGTTCATCCATTGGTTCACTCCCCAAATGCCCGCCATGCCTGGGGCTGGGCCAAGCCAAAGTCAAGATCCCAGAGCTCTAGAGGTCTCCCGCGGGGGGGTAGGGGCCCAAGCGTTTGGGCCATCATCCGATGCCTTCCAGGCACATTAGCAGGAGCTGGGTCTGAAGCGGAATGGCCGCACCCAGGGCGCGTGCGAGCAGTGAGGCAGGATAAAGCAGGTTAGGGGCAGGGTTTGGGGAGCAGCGGTGCCGTCTCCTGGAGTCCACGGCCTCACTCGGGTGTCCCTCTCGCCTCCACCTCCGCCAGCACCACCTTCCGCACTGGCACTTCCTGCTGCCTGCAGTTCCTCCTTGGTTTCTCTGTGCTCATTATTTATTTATTTATTTATTTATTTATTTTTATTTATTTTTTAAAGATTTATTTATTTAAAGATGTATTTATTTGAAAGGCAGAGTTACAGAGAGGCAGAGGCAGAGAGAGAAAGAGGTCTTCCATCCACTGGTTCACTCCCCAGATGGCTGCAACAGCCAGAGCTGGGCTGATCTGAAGCCAGGAGCCAGGAGCTTCCTCTGGGTCTCCCATGCAGGTGCAGGGGACCAAGGACTTGGGCCATCTTCTACTGCTGTCCCAGGCCACAACAGGGTCGGAAGTGGACAAGCTGGGACTCAAACTGGCGCCCATATGGGATGCCAGCACTGCAGGCGGCGGCCTTACCTGCTATGCCACAGCGCCGGCCCCTGCCCCCTCATTATTTCGTGAGAACCGTGGAAGCCCTTGATAGGGAGAGGAGAGCGTGGGAAAGACGGGAAACCTCTGGACCGAGAACCATTCGCAGCTCACACGGAATGCCCGAGGGTGCTCACACCTCTGAGCTGGGGTCGTATGAACAAATCTGGTGTCACCACGCAGTGGTACAGGAAAGAAGTGGACTCGCGTGACTGGGGAGAGCACTGAGCTTGGGTTTGCCCTGAAAGGCACCCGGTGTGCAGCCTCCACACGAGGGGGCTCAGCCAGCTGCTTGTCCACAATATTTGAAAGCAGCAGTTTGCAGCCGTGCACACGCACTTATGTTGTGCTGGGGTTGTGAGTAACCTGGAGGTGGTTTGAGTGTGCAAGTTACGTGCAAGCAGCACCCCATTTTATGTGGGGGACGTGAGCATCCTCGGGTTTCGACATCCCTGGGGGTCCCGGAACCAGTCCCCAGAGGACAACGAGGCACAGCTGTTTCCTGTTAGGCTGACAGCAAGCGGAAGGCCGGGCTGCGAGGCCTGTTCCTCCACGTGCCTTGGCCGGGCGCACCCCAGTTGAGAGGGATCTGGACAGCAGTCCCAGACCACGCATGTGATGAGGGCCGCATTCGCCGCGTGTCCTCGGAGCAGTTCATCTTTCCTTGTAGAAGGCACCTCTGTGCCCCGGAAGGAAGACATCTGAAGTGCACGTGGCAGTGATAACGCTGGCGGGCAGGCCCCCATCGCGCGTTGCAGAGGGGGCTGGGGGCTGCTGAGCACCGCGGCGGCAGCTGTGCCGAGCCTTCGCGATTGTGCCGGATTCTTCCCTGTTTTCTGGAGAGGCTCTGGGTAGAGCCAGCAGGGTCAGAGTTCTCAGTCTGTGATTCGGGACTTTGCTGTGTCTTCCGGGCTACAAGATATGTATTTTTAATTTAAAAGAATTTTTTAATTGTATTTATTTGGAGAGTAGACATTTGGCACAGTGGTTAAGACACTGCTTGGGATTCCTGCATCCCATATTGGAGTGCCTAGGTTCAAGTCCTGGCTCCACTTCCTACCCTGGCTTCCTGCTAATGTGCCCCTGGGAGGCAGGAAGCCCAAGTTGCTTGGGAGACCGAGAGCCCAGGGGTTTCCAGCTCCTGGCTTCCGCTGCAGCCCAGCTCTGGTTGTTACGAGCATGTGGTTGTTAGTAGCATTCCAACTAGCAATTGGTAGAAGAGCTCGCCCTCTCTCTCTCCTCACCCACTCAGTCTTGCTCTGTATTTCAAATGAAATGAAACAGAGAGGATCCAGCCCTGTAGCATAGCAAGTAAAGTTGCTGCCTGCAGTACCAGCATCCCATATGGGTGCTGGTTCGAGTCCCAGCTGCTCCACTTCTGATCCAGCACTAAAAGACAGCCCAAGACCTTGGGCTCCTGTGCCCACGTGGGAGACCTGGAAGAAGCTCCTAGCTGCTGGCTTTGGATTGGCTCAGCTCCGGCTGTTGTGGCCATCTGGGGAGTGAACCAGAGGGTGGAAGATCTCTCTCTATGCCTCTGCCTCTCTGTAACTCTGCCTTTCAAATAAATAAATAAATCTTTTAAAAATAAATAAATTAAATGAAACAGAGAAGTTCCCACCCACTGACTTGCTCTCCCCAGATGCCTGCTATGACCAGGGGCTCATTCAGGCCGGAGTTAGAAGCTCAGATCTCAGTCTGGGTCTGCCATGTGAGCAGCAGGGACCCAGTCCCTGAGCCATTACTGCTGCCTCCTACGCTTGGGTCAACGGCATGCTGGAGTCGTAAGCATAGCCGGGAATCAGACGCAGGTCCTCTGGTGTGTGCCGCAGGTGTCCCGGCTGTCGTCTGAACTGCTGGGCCAGGGTATTAAATGTATCTTCCTGTGATTCTGTGTCTAAAGTGCTAGCGCTGGCCTGTGGCAGACACATGGATCTCATGACAGTTCTGTGACAGATGAGGTGAGGGAAGACTCAGGGCCGGAAAGGGCTCCAGCAGATGGACTCCATTGCACGGGTTTCCCTCCCAAGCGAGGGTTGTATCCATTTGATCAGAATGCCCGAGGCCCCATGAACGCGTTGTCACACATGTATCACACCCGCGGCTCACATACGTCATGAGGCGTGTGACCCCTGGGTGCTGTGACTGTGGACTTGAGCTGATGGCACTGCGCAGCGTCCGCTCGCCAGGGGTGACCTGCCCAGCACTGGCGCTGGCGTGGATAATGGGGAGGTGCACGGAGCTCTGCGCTTTCTGCTCACTGATTCTGCAAACGAAAGCTGCTCTGTAAAAGTCTGCTCATTTTTTAAAAGAAAGCTGTGGCCCTGACATAGACTGCCATGTCCCAGCCCGGGGTTTTTCCCGTCGTTGGGTATTCGCAGCTGGACGCGTGCTCCCCTCGCCTCCTGCTCGGCACAGGCTGGGTCTCTGCTTCTCTCTGGGTGCGATTCCGCAGGAGCACAGCACTGGGCGCCCACCTGCTGCTTGCGATTTAGGCTGTGAAAACAGCCTTTTGTAATTATTTCTCTTTGTTCTTTCAGATCTCGGACAAATACGATGTTCCTCATGACAAGATCGGGAAAATATTCAAGAAGTGCAAGAAGGGGTGAGCAGTGACTGGCCCCTCGGTGCCTGTGGTGGGGACGGTGCCGTGTGTGGCGCAGGTGCAGAGCGCTCATCAGTACCCGCCCAGGAACAGCAGCGCCACAGTGGGCTGTGTCTCAGTGAATTACGGTCGGAAGATGCGGGTGGGGTTGTTCCCTCAAGTGAACACGTGTTTGCCTTCCCACGCGTAACGGGGACTGTGGCTCCAGATTCCAGGGTGCGTGGCCAGGCCTGGGGCCAGGTGTGCCACGGGCCCCACGTGGTCTCAGATGAGAATCACCACATGGTGTCTGTGGGTGGGGCAGCCAGGCTCAGGACGCTGAGACTTGACCAGGGTCCCCAAGTTTCTTCCCTCCTCCCTCCCTTCATCCCTTCATCCCCCCCCCCTTCTTCCCTTCTTCCCTTCTTTAGAATTACAGAAAGAGTAGGAGAGACAGAGAGAGAGCTTCCATCCGCTGGTTCACTCCCCAAATGGCCACAACGGCCGGGGCTGGGCCAGGCTGAAGCCAGGAGCCAGGAGTTTCTTCAAGGTCTCCCAGGAGGGTGCAGTGCCTGCTTTCCCAGGCACATCAACAGGGAGCTGGATCGGAAGTGGAGCAGCCAGGACTCAAAACCAGCACCCATATGGGATGCCAGCACCATAAGCAGTGGCGTTACCCGCTGCGCCGCAGCACCAGCCCCCTGGAGTTTCCTGGTGGTGGACGGGTGAACCCTGGTGCGGAATCGGCCCCAAGCGGCTCCAAAGCCTGCGTTTTTCTCCTTTACTGCCCTGTCCCCTGTAGGTCGTGTTCTCAGGTGACAAAGCCTTGCTGCTTTGTCTGGAGATAATATTTTAGAGCAGTTTTACATAGTGCCTGTGCTGTGTGGCTGTTTGGGTAGAGGGGGCATGGCATGAGAGTTTGGGGCTGAATTCTTTTTTTTTTTTTTTTTAAGATTTATTTTATTTATTTGAAAGACAGAGTTACAGAGAGAGGTAGAGACAGAGAGGTCTTCCATCTGCTGGTTCATTCCCCAGATGGCCACAATGGCTGGATCTGTGCTGATCCGGAACCAGGAGACTCCTCCAGGTCTCCCATGCGGGTGCAGGGCCCAAGGACTTGGGCCATCCTCCACTGCTTTCCCAGGCCACAGCAGAGAGCTGGATCGGAAGAGGAGCAGCCGGGACTAGAACCGGCGCCCACATGGGATGCCGGCACTTCAGGCCAGAGCTTTAACCCACTGCGCCACAGCGCCGGGCCCAGGGGCTGAATTCTGAACCTGGAATGGGATTTTCTAGATGGGTGCAGTGCAAGGGTGGAGCTGAGTAGTCTTTCGTGTAGACCAGGCGTGAGGAACCTTTCTTCTGCCCAGAGCCATCCAAAATCGTCAACTTAAAAATTAGCCTGCTGCAGATCCATGGCATCTCAGTTCTGCCGGCAGCTGCCCGGGCAGGGCCAGACGGCTGACAGCACTGGCGTGTGCGGCCCATGGCCCGACGTCTCCCATCCCCGGTTTAAACTTCAGGGGCCCTCGGGGAAGCCGGGTCTCCGGAAGCCGGGCCGCAGGCCCCCGGATCCATTTGATCATTGAGCTTCCGGACAGAGCAGGTGCCGCTCACGCAGGGGCCGGGCGGCAGCACGCGGCCCTCGAGGCCTGCGTCGTCGTCCTCAGTCGGGTCGGGGGTCCTCCGGGGCTGACCGCGCCCCTCTGCCCCCAGGATCCTGGTGAACATGGACGACAACATCGTGAAGCACTACTCCAACGAGGACACCTTCCAGCTGCAGATCGAGGAAGCCGCGGGCTCCTACAAGCTGACCCTGACGGAGATCTGAGGGCCGGGCCGCGGATCCCCCTCTGGCGCGTGGCGGCCTCGGGGAAGGGACCCGCCGAGCCGCAGGCGGAGCTGCGCGTGCGTGGAGACGGCGTCGGCGTCTTCCACGTGACGAATCCACATACCGTTACGTTTGAATTTTCTCATTTTTCTAGGATTGAAAGTATGAAAACTTTTTCCAAGATTCCACAGACACTCTGGGAACCTTGAGCATATCTGCTACACTGCTTATCCAAATGCCGGGACGTCCACCATGTCGCTCCAGCGTCGGGGCGGGGGCGGGGCCCGGCGGGGGCGGGGCGAGCTCGCTCCTGATGTGGCCGTGTGCCCGCCCTGAGGTGACGACATGCCCGCCCTGACGTGCCCGCCCTGACGTGACGACGTGCCCGCCCTGACGTGACCGCGTGCCCGCCCCGAGGTGACCGCGTGCCCGCGCTGACGTGTCCACGTGCCCTCCCTGAGGTGACCGCATGCCCGCCCTGACGTGGCCGCGTGCCCGCCCTGACGTGCCCGCCCTGACGTGGCCGCGTGCCCGCCCTGACGTGGCCGCGTGCCCGCGGGCGGCGCACTCCCGAGGCCCGGCCGGCGACTCGGCGGACCTGACCGCCCCTCGGAAGAACGTGGGCGGGCCGCGCTAGGAAGTCGGTTCGGGGAAAGCCGCCTTGTATATAAGTGCAATATGTGTGTGCAGGTCCGTGTAAATGTGTACATACGTGTCTATATGAATAGATAATATATAAACGTGGCGCCTGCGCACTGAGGCCGAGGTGGGGTCCCTCGCGCCCACCCCGCGGGGAGCCCAGAGGACAGAGGCCGTGGGCTGTGCACCTGCCGGGCGCCCACGGGGCCGCTGCGTCTGGGAAGCCGCCTCGGGTTCACCAGAAGGTGTCCTGTGGCGGGAACATTCTGTACACATGTCTAAATACACAGAATAGCGAAAAACGTGATTTTATACCAAGTCACAGGTAGCGCTGGGTCCCGGGGGCTAGCTTAGGTCGCTGGTATGAGGAGCCTGGTAGTTGGGTTCTTAGGTTAAGATACTCTAATGAAGTATGGGAGCTGGATCGCTGGCTTTCTAAGATGAGATTTCGTGGGACACGGGTCATATAACAATATTTTATATTGTTTTGTGAAATTGATTTTGTCTTGTCATTTTTGATTGTATCATTGAATGTGTACTTTAAGCTAAAGGGATTAAATTTTATATGTCCATTTCGTAACATGTTATTTTTTGTTACTCACTTTTATTTTATCCTTCCAATACTCGATCAAACAAAATTTGAGATTTTAAAATATTAGGGCAAAAAATATATACTAGGGCCCAGAACCATCTCCCGGCTAGCACTCTGTCGTTTCTGACGGCGCCTGCTGGGTACCTCCTTTGTGTTTGGTTTTCCTGATGCGATCCACGCCATGGTAGCATGAGAGAGGCCTGAAGGAAGTTTTCGATTCTTTTGAAAGACAGAGAGATATCTTCACATGCTGGTTCACTCCCCAAATGGCTGCAAGGTCCGGGTCTGGCCGGTCGAAACGTAGCTCTGGCCTCTGCCCCTAAAGCGGCTTTGCCCTGACAGCTCTCTCTCCCCTCCCTGTGCCCCCGCGCTCGCTGCGGCGCACAGGTCCTCAGCCCCTAGGAGCGGGTAGCTTGTCCCTAAGGATGCAGGGGCTGCGGTGCCTTGAGCCATCCCAGTCACTTGCAGAGCAGCAGGGCGATTTTTCAGAAACGACAGACTCAGGAGCCGGCCGGGACGGTCCTGTGCAGTGGTCCCTAGAAGCCCCTCGGAGACGGAGAGGGGCTCCGAGGAGGCAGCTTCAAGGACACCACAGGCCTGGCTGGGGAGGCGCCCAGAGCCCTGCGTGTGGAAGAGGCACACGGGGCCGCCCCGCGGTGCGCCTGGAGCCTGGGTGCCCGCGTCCCTCCTTCCCTGTGCTCCGGGTGCCCTTAAAGGCAGCCATCTGTCCCTGTCCCCATCCAGCACGCCCCGTATTTGTATCTGCGGTCCATTGCGCAGCCTGGCGGGGAGCCCCTGCCTCCTCCTGATGCACCCCCGCCCCCCGCATGGCCTCTCTTCTGTCTTCGATATGCCTGGTCCTGAACCCCCACAACCATCACCCTTGCAAATCTTTGAGCCAGATTTTGTCTCTCACGCTGTCATGAACGTAACCACAGGCCTTTAGACTGGGTGTTAGAGCCCCTGAGGAGGGAAGGCCCTCCCAGGGCTGTGCAGGAATCCTTCTTGCATGAGGTTTCGTGTGTGGACAGCCCTCGGACATGGCCGCTTCCTTAGGTCTCATCACGTGACTGGGCCAAGTCCGTGCCATGACTGACAGTGCTGCAGAGCATGCTGGGATGCCTGCCCTTGCACACATGTGACAGCGAGATGAACTCTCAGGGGACGAGCGCTCAGCCGGAGCACATAGCCAGCTCAGATTTTGTAGGTGCTGCCAGGGTGCCGTCTAAACCAAAGTGGTTTCTGTTCCTGCCGGTGTGAGGGAGAGACTGCGTTCCCGGCGTCTCACTGTTGATTTGGCCTCAATTTGAGCGACGCCGCGCATCCCTGCATGCCCAGGGCCACTGGGACTCCGCTTTCTGTGGCCTGTGCGTTTCCACCCGCGGACTCCTCGTCTGTGTGTTGGTGGACTTTGTTTCTTCTGCATGGCCCCGGCTTCTTGCCCTGGCCTGCTGGTTACTGAGCTCTGTAGTGGGCCCGTGACAGTCCTGTCTCTCCTCACAGGGGTCACATGGGGTGGTGGGGTGGCCCACCGCGCAGCTGAGGCTCAGGGAGCTCCTGAGGAGCAGAGGGCCAGGGCGGGACAGCCTCCCGTCTGGCCTGAAAATGCTCCCGCGTGCCTGCCGAGCTGCTTGCCATTGGCTTAGCTCCTCGACAACTTCTGAGTCCCTTTGGCTTGTGTGGCGGGTGCATCACTGGAAGACTGCAGAAGTCAGAGTGGTCACGCCGGTAAACCATGCAGGCAGGGCCTGGCGAGTGCGCTGGACGGAGGCAGGCTGCCCTCCCTGCACCTGGGCTCACCAAATCCTGGATTCTGTCCTCCTCCCCTGGGGCGTCCAGCCACAGCCTCACTCCCCACGCAGCCTGGAAGGAATTGCCAACAGCTCCGAAGGCCGTGCCTCCTGGTTCAAGTCCAGAAGGAAGGGAAGAAGGCACGTGCAGAGCAGGATCCCGGTGGAAGGCCCGGTGACCCCTGGTGAGGCCCCTCCCCTCGGCCAGGCCGCTTCCCCCACAGATCAGGGCTTTGCAGGGGTGGGGCAGAGGAGGGGAGTGATGGCCAGGGCCAGGACACCGCTTCTGGATCTCCTGCCTCTGGGCGTTGCTGTCCTGTCCCCAGGGGCCAGACCACAGTCTGCTCCTTGATTCCAGCCGCTCCAACACTGACAGCTCCCGGCTCTCCACCCAGAGCTTCCCTTCGGCTCCAGACCAGCCGCCGGCTGGACGTTCTCTCCCCGGGCAGCCTGCAGGCCCTGGGCCTCCCTCTACACGAGACTCTTCCTCCCGCCTCCTGCTCCTGTGTTCCCCGGGTTAAATGGCATCCAGGCTGGCCCTGGGATCCAGCATTGGCCTGTGCCCCTTACCCACCTCTAGAGCGCCGTACCCAGCGTGCTGCGTGGCGCCGAGGGCACCAGCAAAGTGCTGTCACTTCCACACCCGCACTCGCCCGGGACCCAGTGTCACCAGCTTTCCCTTCCCCGTCCACATCGTCACTCAGAAAATCCTGTTGTCCCCATCTTCAGAGAATGCCCAAAATTCAGCCGCTTCTCACCACCCTCATCTTGGCCTAGACCCTCGCAGTGACCTAACTGGACTCCTCGTGTGCAGCCCCACGTTTTATCCCCTATCTCACAGCCACATGGTCCTGCTAAAACGTGGCTCAGGACCCTGCTCCAAACTGCCTGACTCCTGTCCGGCCCAGAGGAACAGGCAGAGTCCATCCGATGGGAGCAGCTCTCATCCGGAGACCCCGGTGGATGCCTGGAGCTGCAGGCAGCAGGAACCCTCACGAAACTGCCTGTGCCCATACACACCTGGCCATGACCAAACCTCACCAGAAATCAGGTAGAGACTGGTAACAGTGAGTAACAATAGAACAAGACAACATTGCACTGTAGGACAAGTTACGTGGTGTGATCTCTATTCTAGAAACACATCCCGGCTTCTCCTCCGCCCATCCCAGGGCCAGCGTCATGGCTGTAAGACAAGGGTTATGTGGACATTAGCACCACGGTACCCGGCGCCTGATGGGACAGCCGAGACGCTGCCCAGTGAGCCGTGGGTGGGCAGAGAGCACACGTAGAATGACCACGCTGAACCTGGGGGTGAGTGGCACCCGCGCAGGACAGGGTGGGCTGCTGTGAGGTTTCATCAAGCTATCAGAATGGTTCACAATGTACACCTTGGGAAGTGTTTAGGTCTAGAATTTTCTGTGTACTAATCTCAGACCCCAATCGACAGAGAATAAATAACTAAAAGTAGGGTGGGAGGCTGGCGCCGTGGCTCAATAGGCTAATCTTCCGCCTTGCAGCGCCGGCACACCGGGTTCTAGTCCCGGTTGGGGCGCCGGATTCTGTCTCGGTTGTCCCTCTTCCAGGCCAGCTCTCTGCTATGGCCCAGGAGTGCGAGGATGGCCCAAGTGCTTGGGCCCTGCACCCCATGGGAGACCAGGAGAAGCACCTGGCTCCTGGCTTCGGATCAACGCAATGCACCAGCCACAGCGTGCTGGCCGTGGCAGCCATTGGAGGGTGAACCAACGGCAAAAGGAAGACCTTTCTCTCTGTCTCTCTCTCTCACTGTCCACTCTGCCTGTCAAAAAAAAAAAAAAAAAAAAAAAAAAAAAAAAAAAAAAAAAGTAGGGTGGGAAGTACAGTAGCAGATAAGGAGGGCCTGCTACTCCCACGACCTGTGCCCTCTACCCTCTGACCCTCCTCCGGCCATTCTGGCTTCTTGCGTTCTTGGAGCGTGGCGGAAACTGTTTCATCACACCGGCAGCCGAGGACGCTGCCTAACCAGGTGTGCGGTCACCCGACCTCCCCGGCCGCCAAGCTTCACCCATGGCCTCTGCCAGCAGTCACACTGGAGGTGATCACCTGATTGTAGCCACGGTCCCGGCATTTGTCAGGCCTGGCGGGTGTCCGTGGCATTGGCAACAAGATGAATCAGGCAGTCACCCTGCTCTTCCCGGCGAACGCTTCTCCCTCCATGCCGGTGAGCCAAGGGCCATGCTGCAGTCGGCTCTCACCCGCAAGGCCAAGCACACACCTGCGCTGTGCTGGCCTGCCCCCTGCCCTGGGTAAGGGGACATCACGTCAGCCCACCCCATGGGAACATGACCTCTGGGGCCAGAGGGTCAGAAAAAAAAAACACAAAAATTCAGGGAAAATGTCTGAGGGCCAAGACCTGGGGCGGGAAACAGATCCCTTCCGGGTGAAGGGCAAGTGCTGCTGGCCCCTCCCCCATCCCCACGGCACACCCCCGCCCCATACCACTGACCTCCTCAACCTGCTCTGGGTTGTTCATGGCAGTGCGCACTTCTAACGTGCTGTATATTTCACATAATTGTTATGCTCACTGCCCACCACTCGCCTCGCTTTCCAGAACATTCCATCCTCCGAAACAAGGCGTTTTGTCTGACTTGTTCACTGAGGAGTCCCAAATGCCCTCCAGGAAACACCTGGCCCCTGTAGAGATCTGTTGGGCACCCCACACCCATGCTCCACTTCCCTTCCCCCAAGGCTCACCTGCCTGGGCTGCACCAACTGTAGGGGCTGGGGGAGGTGGATTCTGGGCTCCAGGAGCTCTTCCGGAAGCTCGCCGTGTGCCTCAGGTGGTCTACACAGTCCCCTGCCCCCTGCCATGGGAGGCCACTCCCTGCCCCTTCAGGGGTTGGCAGCTTCCTGCTGGAGTGACAGTGCCACCGCTGCATAAGGAACCCCTCCTCGGAGGATCCTAGCTCGAGTGTGCCTGTGTGAGTCAGTGTTCGAGCTACAATGCCGGAGGGGGCTTCTGGGGAAGGAGGAAGCCCTACTTCAGCTTGGAAGTTGGAGGGTCGCCGTTCAAGACTGGGCGGCCCCAGCAGTGTAGGCATCTGGAGAGGTCAGGCCGCCAGAGGGAGGGTGCTAAACCAGGAAGCAGAAAGAGAAGCTGGGCTGACCTCGGCTCCCATTACCAACTCTAAACACCTCCACTGGGCCCCCTAGGGCAGAGGT